TCCTGCAGGCCAGGCTGGAGGCAAACAGGCAGACTGCACACCCAGGCTCAGATCTAAAGGCGAGGGTGCTGTGTTAAAGCGCCCGGCAGGCTCCGACGACCCAGGCCGGCCCCGCTGCACTCCCGCCCGGGGTGCACCCCGCGCCCAGCACGCCGCTCCGGCCTGACTGCGATCACAACCGACACCAACACCACGCCATCCCGCAGACAGACATGGGGCAGTTTAAATTTGTCCTTCCAGGATGCCAACATTTCGCTATGGTCCGCTGAAGCAAGGGGGGGGCATACCTCCTGGCCTTCAATCTACATGTACAACTAAGCCTCATTTTGTAGAGGCGACAACGCAAACTTTACGAAACCGACAGCTTGTCTTTAACGACATTGTAAATTGAATACGTGTTCATGTAATTAATTTCTGAGCAAATGATCTTTTTTTGTAATGACGTGATATTGTTTTCTGCCAAGCCTCATTTAACTTCATGTTAGGTCTGCCATTATGTTTTTGCTACACGTACATGTATTTTGAAGAACTTTGTTTGAGGCCTTCTTTGTTTATTGAAAATTTAGTCTTTTGACTGTTTGTGTAAGCGCCATTCACTTTCATGATCTGAGGGCTATTTTCCTCTTTTAACCTGATGATATGTCAGTATTAGTTACTTTTTGACATTTTTTGCTAAAATGGACTTCTATTTGGAGGTGACTGTGATGAGATGTGATGTTAGTTTACTTTTTAAAGTTAGAGAAATCTGTTAATTACTAGTAATTTCTGACTTTACTCCGGGTCCAACGATTTTAAAAGTCTAGTCCCTGGAAGGCTAGTTCGGGAAAAAGCTATTGTTTCTATGTTTCGGCTACACATATTTGTAAAGTACCAGGTTACATTATTGTTAGTGTTAGCATAGTGCATAACGTGTATACACTATACATGGAGCGTTATTTTTGTCAGTCTGTAAATGGCGATCCTGTTTATACCAATAAAACGATGAATGAAGTATAAACATGTATTACTTTTTTTTTATGAATGAAATGTGTTCCTAAAACATCGAAATGTGTCCCGGGAGCGGGGGAAGCGATTTCTCGGGAGCCGGAATTTTCGTAGGACTGCCATTTCTTTAGTTTGCAGTATGTGTATTGAGAACGTTCGAACGGGTATCTTCATAATTCTGCTGGCTGTTTGTAGAACAACGGCACAAAAAAACAGTTTTTTCAGTACCATCACGGCTTAGCAGATAACACGCAATGAAGCCCACTTTTTACGCAGATTGTAGCACTGCGTAATGTTACACAAACTAACAGTAGATGTTTTAAGGAATTCAAAGAAATAGGCAATGATAGATAATGTAACGCATAAACATTATACAGCACAAAATGAAGAGTAACAGTAATGTAGTCGTGTTTGGCAGGGTATGGCAAGTTATAGTGCGTACATCTATCGGTAAGTTGACAGCAACAAGCAAGATGCATAGGTTCCATTACTTTTGTAGCTCACTTGCGTCCAGATTTGGGACGAACCCATGTTACTTTTTCGTCGCAGTTTTACATGTAGTGGTTGCTTCGGCAGCCCTTCCGCTGACGCAAACATGGTTTGAGGTTCCACAGTTCTTACAACGTTAGCGCTTGAAGTTGCTGTGGTGTTCTCCAAGTTTGTTGGTCTGGTGATGTTGTCTTTGTTGGCTTGTTGTCTGTCATTTTCCTCCATTTTTATGTTTGGCGGCCCGTCTTCGATGGGTTGGGTTTGCTTCACAAATCTCGGCTTCGCTATTAAAGATCTGTTCCTCCCGTAGTGGTCGCTCCATTAGCGCTAGTGCAGCTACATTTGAATCTGTAAAACTTCATGTCTACAGTCCCATTTCGATTCGTTCATCTAAGTAGATTTTACTACCGTATGATTTTACAAACTAATTGTGGAAGTACTAGTACTTAGTACTGAAGTAAACAAAAACAATTACGCGCTCTGGTTGAGTTCATGGCATTTACATGAAACAAGGTGCTAATAGCCGCTAGTCGGTGACCTGTCAGCAGCCCTCTGATTGGTCCCCGCTAGAAATCTACTGGATGTCGTATAGTGTACACGGGGGGGGGGTGTAGTACAGGCATGTCCGACCCGTACACGGCGAATTTCCGCTGCCGTGTGGAGAATAATTAGGTGATAATTGCCGCTAAATTATGCATATTCCAGCAACGCACGGAGCGGTGCACGGCCATTTCCTGCCGTGTACGGGGGTGTACAGGGATCGTGTCCGGGCATATAACGTCCAGTACACGACCTGCACACAAAAAGTGGTTCATTTCCGGGAGTGTACAGGACATGTACGGGACTGGACACGTTTCGTGTGCAGGTCGGAAACCCCCGGGTTCTACCGGAAACCTAAAATATCCGGGAAAGTGTGCGGCAATTTCTCACACGGAAACTAGGGATTTTGTGCCGTGTTAACAACGCATAATTAATATCGACTATATAGTAATCGACATTAGAAAGCTATCTTGTCAATAGGGATGTAAGACGTGTAATATGTTTGGAAATACCATGACTTGGTCAACTGTTTTCCCGCTCTCCTTAGCTGCTTCTTGTATCAACGGACAATCCTTCTTCGCCACGATCATTCCTCTTTCCTCATAGAACCGGACGAGTACAGGATCGTATTCCTTCTTACGTGTGGAGACTCCCTGTAACACGAACAAGTGAAAGTGAGTTTTGTTTGGAACGAGGGCGGTTCTACAAGGATTCTTTCTGACACACTTCTGGTCATTGTAGTAGGATGAAATTGTACATGTATAATTATACATGTACATGTCTCTATAGATAGATCACATGCCTTTCAACTTCGCTTATAGGTAAATGTTTCTACGCAATTCTTATGATAGGCATAATGCATCTCTATCCAGCCTACCAAGCAGAGTACAAAATTCAAATACTAGATGCGTACTAGGGGAACTAAAACAACAACTTTATATCATCTTCAACTTGTAGTTTAATACTATCAGCAGTTGTTTTTGAAGCGAAGTATTTCACAAGTAATGTACAGGCATCTCAATCATATTCTTTATATAATATAATGCTTTATGATTTTGCATCACGTAGGTTTTAAAGCGACTCACATTGTTCTGTTGTCGGAGAAGTTTCAGTATTTCCTTTCTACCACGAGTAATTCGGTCTTCCTCATCTTTGTTGTCCGGATCAGCGTCACTGGTGTCCTCATCTGCAGCGATGTCCTCCGCCGTTTGACCATCCTAGGAATGAACATGCTGTCAATTATAGCCATATGAATGTTGAAATATCGGAAATAAACACGACTGGATGAGAAGATAATATGTATTAAGCATCTAAAACATATACAGTAGGTACATCAGAAAAGCCTATGTCTAGAAAGAAATTGGTTTGAAGGTGTTTATGTGATACGATGCAGGAATATCAGAACACATCGTAATTTGTGTGTTTATTCCAACAACAGCTTCCTCCATACCTCGGGCAGTAATGTATGTAGTATCATCATCATAATGTATGTGGATCATCATTTAAAAAAAGAAATGTTTACTTTAAATTTTTCTCCCAAAAGAAGTAAAGCCAATATTGTATTTCTGGATTGGTGGTCAGTCATTTACCAGTGAAGCCGAAGAATCAACTGACCTTGTTCCTGAGACCGGCATCAGCCCCGTGCTGCAGCAGTATTTCCGCACACTTGGGGTGACCCTGTCTAGTTGCGTCATGGAGGGGTGTTTTTTCCTGTTGGGGCATTGACAGTGCAATTTTTAATCCTTAATATAATCAAATAGCAACCCTTTATAAATGTATATATTTTATTTCCATCACTTAGTGACTCCAAGCTCGCTTGAAACCATTCCATATAACTTTGCCTTCTATACTGATTGTTTCTAATAATGGATAATAACGGTAGCACTACAAATTCAATCCTGCTGACATTTTTTGCACAATATATATTTTTTTTTCAATTTCGTGTCTTAATCAGGTCTAGACCCCTGGCTTTTTTGCCATGCGGTGGCGTAGTTACTTCCGCATTCGTTGCGTTTCGCTGCGGTGTGATACGTTGAACGAAAATAGCCCCAAATTGTACATATACAGGGCACCATATGCATAATAATATATGTGCAACCCATGCTTTATGACACCAAAAAATGTATGATGTATTCCGACAGTTGATAATATGCTGTATAGCCCCATGCGTTCCAATCCGTACCAGCTTCATTTTGGCAACAATTTAAATTGTAGACAGCAAATAAACCACTAAGTAAGAAGATGAGAAGATGAATTTTAAATCTTAGGCCATGTTGATTTGATTATATGGATGACATCCGCGCGCGCATGAATTTTCGGCCGTTTCCAAAAAAAAGTTTTCAACCATACTGTAAATCGTACAAAACAGTTGTAAAATGAGCAAAAATATACATATAGAATACAACACGGGGTATTCCGTATCGCCCGAGGTATCGGCCCGACCGCGATGCGAAATACACCGTGTTGTATTTTATTTATATCATACTCACCCAAGAAAACGCGCCTTTCAATGCAATATGAGCCAAAAGTTGGTGCCCCTAAACCCTCAAATGCAACAACATCAGTTCCAACGTCCGGATTCTGTATTCGAATTTTCGAAAGGGGCACACGCGGTTAGGGCGAAACGCGTTCGAATCGCTTTATGGAAGCCATGGAAGCGTTCGATAACGGGTTCCGGACCGGGTATCGATA